ACTAAAAATTAATTCAAACTCATGTGATTATGTTCCTCATGATTAATTATCTTAAAGTTACCTTGAAATTTTGATTATTAATTATCTTGAAGTCTGGGATATACATATATCGTGAACTTTCGATGTTACATCATCTCATATTTTCATGAACCAAGCGACATGAATTGGCGACATTTTGAGGAAGAAATAAGAACCAGCGATTCTTTTGATTCTGTCTGATCGAATGTTTGGAGCGGTCGCCGAAATTCAGTGAAAGTCTCCATCAAACACGGGTCACCGATTGAAGGGAGAGAAAAAGAGAGACAGAAAGAGAAAGACAGAAACGAAGCAAGAGAAAGGGAATACATCGCGGCGAATGTAACAAAGACGGAGATTCCTACCATCGGCAGAAACCGGCGCGTATAACCGCGCGATTCTGAGTTTCCCCGGCCAACGACAGTTCACTGTCACTTTCGAGCCGACAGTCCGATACGAGGATACGATCGTGCCGGTTCTCTGCGGCGCGTCTGGTCCACAGAAATGGCATGCCGAGCGAGTTAACACGTCTGCGGTCTGACCGCGTGCCAAACTCGCATTTCCGTCAACAACATCATCGAGGATGCGATTCGAATCGCAACTTTCTAAAAAAAACTCAGATTGAAACGATCCTCTAGAGAACGGTGAAGATTCAGAAGTGCCTGGTTCAGAGTATTAAAAAATCAAGCTGGACGTTGGAAGAAAGTATTGAGCAGCGATTGTGAATTACAAGGTACAGGGAACCAGCAAGACCAAATGATCCGAGAAGAGTGGAGAGAAGAAAAGGACTAAATAAGAAGAAAAGATCGCTTAAAGATCACTTGGACGAATAAAAAAATACGCGAGAGAAGAGATACAAAGAAGAAAATATTCGATTGTAAGAAGTTGCCAGGAAAAAATAGCTCGAAATAGCTTTTAAGTTTTCGCAAGATGGCAATATTACAGCACGAGTTTGGGGTTTGTTAGGATAAAAGAAGATAAATCGAAGTGAAAGGAAGAAGAAATCGTAGGCGTTGAATAGAGAGGATTATCTAAAGTGATTGACGCATGAGAAGTAACGAGAAAAGAAATCTTTCAAAAGGTTTCATAAAATCATAATGCGATCATGAATTGACCGATGCAGATTAGAGAAGAAACAAGATCAATTAAATAGAAAAAAACAAGGATCGTGGGAATCTATTATTCGAGTAATTCAATCGAGAAGATCAGCCAAGCTTATCGGAACTTTTGGAACAACGCGAAGATCTGATATCTTGTGAGAACAGAAGGGATTACAAAGAAGATATATCTACTAGGGGAAGCTAACAAAGACAGCTGATTAAGAGGATCACTTGAGGAAGATGCACGAGACATAAGAAGAGGAAAATATCGTGAAATCCAAGAAAGAGTCAGTGGAATCTAGGATACGTGACAATAAAAAAAAATCAACATCGATCAAAGAGAAAGTCGAGAAGTTTAATTGACTAAATCAGCTGAAAGAATTTAAGAAGTATAATGGGACAAAAAGATAATCTAATCCTATAAAAAATCACAAATCACCGGTTAAGATAATTACAAGGATAAAAAAGTGGAGTACAGACTCGAGATAAAAGAGAGAGGCGAAAAGATAAAAATCAACAATTCGTCTTTAAAAAAAACCAACAATTTAATTAAAAACATAATTTGAAGAAATTAAAGAGCGGAAAATATCAAAAACGAAAGAAGTAACGAGGAAAATTAAACAGAAGGATAAAATTCGAGAAAGCAAAAGTGAAAGGCTAAGTAGATTATCGGTTTCGTTAAAAAAAATTAAGATTTTATAACTTGAAAGAGCTGTCATACGTCTGTTAAATTAAAATATTACATCCAACATATAATTTCCGCGCTTATATAACTTTTGCTAGACATTTACGTTTCTTACATTGAACTACACGCGTGCTCATGTCTATGAATAAATAAAACACTACAGATATAGAAATATAATTGTGCTCGTTACATAAGGACAACGTAACTTGCGATTGGAAAGCCAGGTCGCGATCGCGTAACTGGCGAAATTGGAACGCGAATTGCGCGAGCAGATTCGCAGCCAGACGTCGCGGATTTGTGGAAATGCGGGTGACTAGGACGAAAAAGTCGTCGGAGAAAGCGAGGATCGCGGACTAGTTGTAAAATCACTGCATCCGACATTACGAATGCGAAATTAAAACCGGAAATTTTCGCATTTTAATTGCAACTCTAATTAGCTGCAAGTCATCGTATTTGGTTCAAAGTACAATCTCAGTAATGGAATCGCCGAAGCTGGTTGAATCAATGACGATCGGAACTAATCGTTATAAACTCTTTGTTTCGAATTAATACTTCTAATTAATTATAATTTAGAAAAAAAATTTACATTGTAAAAAGTTGGAGAAAAGTTGGATCACGTTTGACAATTGTAATTGATTGTAAAATTATCATTTTAAATTAATAGTGCTATGATTAGAAAAGGAAGAGAAATATCTAAATCGGAGTAAAATTCTTACGCCAACATTGGTTGAAACTACTCGTGATTAATCTTACGATCCATATTTTATTTGTAATTTATATTATAACATATATCATTATATAGAAAATAAATAATAATTGTTAAGGAAGAAAGGACCAAGTGTTAACGGGAAGACGAGTGTTGCTTTCGCAAGAAAACGCGTTCCGCAATCAGCAACATGCTGATTTACGTCTTCAGTTTGATCTCGACGCTTCTAATCGAGAGTGACAGAGTCGTGCCTGGTCAAGAGAGATACAACATGGCGACCTTTATGGTCCTGTTTCTGCTAATTACTATTGAGGTGGTGGTCGTGAAGGTCGTCACTTCCGATATGGAACGAGACGAGGACAGTCACTCGCCGCTAAGTGCGGCCGCAGCGTTTTTCGATCGCGACGATTAGAAAATCGTGACAGATTTACAAATAATGATAATTTCAATATCAATTTCGCCGTAAATGGCATAAGCGAATTTAACAGATTTTTAAAAAGAAATCTTGCAATCATATCGCTAGTAAAAGTTTTCTTATAATGTCACATAATCTGTCCTTATCGATGAATACAGTTGTTTAAAAAATGAGCAAAATCATATTAATCATGTCTCAAATAATCGAGTCATCGCGATATATAAACCCGCGATACCTTACAATCAATGTCGAGCATTACAAGAGTGACTCATGACATATTTATATGTTTGACTTTTGCCACTTTCCAAATAAATATAAATCGTTAATTGAGAGCGTGCGCAATGACCGAAAAAAAATAAGTAGACAAAGTCCATTATTATGGCACAAAACAATACCTGTGTCTATTAATACATACTTTCTATCACATTCTATTTCGTACTATTAGCTCGTGCCAATTATAGGTCTCGATAATATGAGATCTCATGTAGCAATGTATATGTATACAGGGTGTCCTAAAGTTGTCAATTAATTTGAATTTTTTTAACAAAAAAATATTTGATATTTTTTGAATAACAAACTTTCAAATAATGAAAAATTTTCATTAGTAAAATTTTGAATTTTGAAGCGTAAATAGAAAATTATATGTCGTACGACTCACGATTAATCTACATTATTAATATCAGAATATTATTTAAGAAAATATTTAATTTTAGTTTAGAAAACGTACATAATTGTAAATTATTTAATGCTGAAAAGTGTGAAAAGAATAATGTGCCATGGAAAAAATTTAGAAATTAAAAAAATTTATGTTCGATAAAATATAGAAAAGAATCAATTTCCTACATGGATTACTAAGATTTGTGTCATTATTTTATTATATATTATAAGTACGTTCAAAATTATTTAATCTTAAATAATTCTTAGTGATATTAGGATAAAATAAGTCTGAAAAATACAATACAAAAGCTTTTAAGTCACCTGAAGAATTTAAAAATTTTTTATTTTTTGCTATAGAACAATTAAATCTTATCCGATTGCCACGATTTTGCAAAGCACCCTGTATAATAAATGCGCATTCTAGTTTGTGCATGTATATGCAATAAGCGCGGTTATTTTGTACCGTTACGACGTTGTAAATATGTAACGACTGTGCCCTAGAATACGTAGTTCGAGTCGATCGTTGTGGCTTTACAATATGATAAATTGCGGTAGCTTTATTGCGTGTGATACACGCTTATCCTTCGATTATTATTTTATTACTTTGTTCAACGGGTGACATGAATTACAATTATATTATCCTACATCACAAGTGTCCGTGTAAAAGAGATGTTTGTATATAATAAGTATATTATAAGTAAATTCAATCAATGATTTATGCATCAAGCTGATCTTTTTTTAAGGATTGACCTTTATTTCGGATTATCTTATTATTCCACAGTGCGTCATCAAATTGTTCGTAAAGAATGTTTTTTCAGAATATTTCTGTAAATTTCATAATTAATATTAATTAAATAAATACATTACTTATTTGTAGCTTATGTGGTTTTTTTATTTTCACACAGACACACAGAACTATCTTTTCTAATTTAAATAAATAAAAAAAAAAATATATATATATATATATATATATATATATATATATGATAATAAAAATTAGAATTATAATACTACATGTATATATGAAATATGATATAATTATTACTTAATAAAATAAATTTGCATAAATATTAAGATAAGTCTGAATCATAATTAAAATATATGAGAAAAAGTACAAAATAAAAATTCAAATTTTTTACAAATTTATAATGTTTACTGATCATGCAAAATGATGCCTACGTGATAAAAAATTCAGCGTCATAATTTTTGTTTGCGTAGATTTGGCAGATTTCACGGATTGTACATAAATCACTATAAATCAAACAAGATCTGAAAACTTTTAATTTTATTCGAATTTTTAAATCAATTTAAAATTCAAGATAAACAATATATGCAAGAATGATTGATTTACGTGATCAAGATGAGTTAACTGTTGGTGAAATCTCCTTGATTTGTTTTTTAGATTAAAAAAATTCTTTTCAGGAAAGATTCGAAGCCGAGGGAAACGAAGCGAGTGCCCGTGGACGACAATCGCTGCGCCTGTTGCTTGGCACCGTTTTTAATCAATCGTGGTGTGCGCTGCAATGATTGCGGCGCCAGGTCCTGTATAAAGTCCTGTTCCCGTTGGGACACATCGGATAATGCTTGGCATTGTATATTCTGTCATCATCGAAGGTCTCTTTAATACGTATCGTATTTATCATAAATATGTTATTCATTATTCATCTTTTTTTATATATATATCAATATTTATCAATATATATTAATATATTAATATTATATATCAATATATTAATATTATATATCAATATATTAATATTATATATTAACATATATTAATATTAATATTATTTTAAATTATTTATTTTCTTGAAAAAAAAAAAAATTTTTTTTGACAAACGAAGCCTATAATTTTTTCTAAATATATCTCATTGTCTTTATTTTTAATAGACTTGGTATTAAATCAACATATATGTATAACATATATGTATAACATTAAAGTGTAGCAAAATTTTTTTCGAGAAGTTTAATATTTATTTTTAATAAATTTCTAAAGGAAGCATGATTTTTAATTTCGCAGAACGAGGATAAGGAGGAATGAGAAATGGTTCGAAAATTTCGGTGCCACGAATGAGGAGGAATTGCATAGCTTCTTTGGTACTGCTAAGTCACGAGTCTACGTTGCAGGTAATGTGTAAAAATCGTGTAAAACTTTAATTTTCAATCCAATATTTCTATGATTTACGATAAATTGTTACAAAGTAAGATCCAATATAAAAAAAAAATCGATGCATCTTCGCTTTTTTATTCTTCTAATTTAAATATCATTGTACCTCAGATCCTTAAATATTTCGAGATGATAACGTTATAATTAGCGTACTTTCAACGTATGTATATTTAATTGTGCATTTTTTTCGCGATTTTGTGTCATCGCTGTGTCATCGCATTGTTTTATCCGTGATTGGCGAACGTCTGTCCTTGTTCCAAGACGGAAAAGTCGCGTAACGGAAGGAGACTGACATGAACAGTAAGAATGGCTCGAAAAGTCTCTCACGACGATGCTCATTGTTCGGTGCGCAACGCGTGATCCACCACATGAATCGTATCAACGTGCTCGATCGGGAAAGAGCACGAGCGACGTAACGGAGGTACATGCGTGGTCCACGATTTAGAAAGCAACTTTTCTTCGTTTCGCGACGAACGTGCTGGCGGACTGTGACAACGGCAGAACGCGATGTGCGTTTCGAATAGTCTCGCGATATTGTGGAATGTGCGAGATAGTGGCAAATGTGATATATAAATCAAACATCGGAAGAACGTGACTCGATACAAATATGATTTTCGCGATTTTATAACGTAAAATGTATTGAGGAATTAATATTAATAAGTTTGGACCGCGTACAGTTTGATAAGTCTGTGTCTTTTAATTTTATATATTTTTACTTATTTTTTTTTTAATTCGATAATAATAAAAAATTGTGAATTTTTTTAATAATAAAAATTTGTGAATTTTTAAAATCATTTTTTAAATCAAATTTCTACGTCCAATGTTTGAACTAAATTGTATTTTTAAGAATGTTCAAAATTATTCTCCAGGACATGCAGTCGCGGCGAATATGGAGCAGATTCAGGAGGATCAGGAAGAGAAACGCACGGTGTACATAATTCGAAACTTTGTTGAGAAGATAATTGAAGATTTCATTGATAATGTGGATGATACGTCGATCGATCGACTGTACAAAAATTCCGAATGTAAGTGTATATCGCATCTAAAAATACAAGCGACAATAATACTATAATTGAAACTTTAATTAATTTCAATTAATAGATGACAAATTTTTGGAGGAACATCGTCCGCCGTTGATTGTCGCTTTGACTCGATTGGCTACGTGTTTGGAAACATCTCTTATGAGTACGTATACTATTCATTTTTAATTTTATTTAATCGTCACTTTTTTATTAATTGCATTAAAAAGAAGCAGTTTCTTCTTTTACATTAAAATTCAAATTAATGAATTAAAAATTAATTAATTAATTTATAATATATTAGACATTCTTCCAAAATATGTTACAACTTGTAAGGCATATAGTATAGTCATTACCTTCAATGCTAAATTTATTTTCGCATTATTACGAAAAAAATATATTAATCTTATATCAAGTTTTTGATATGAGATCTTCAGAATAAAATCTTCAGAAATACATACCGTGATCTATGTATTTGTACACATATTTATATTCCGAGCTCACTAATCATGTCGCAATATTCTCACACTATTAGAAAAAAAAATTCAATGGATGTCATATAATTTCAACCTCTACATCTATAAACAACGCGTCCATACAGAGTGTTTCTTTTAAAATACAACTAAGATTTCATACTCGATGTGTAATTTACAATATTACTATAAATTATATAAATGCACTGCTTATAAGTTCGAAATTTTCAGTTTAATCACATATAAATATAAAATAAAATAAAATAAATATAAATATAAAATGACTACTTTTAATTAAATAATTAGAAAGTGATTAGTTAGAGCCTGTGAACGACTATTTAAAGACTATTAATATATATTCTCATTCAAAAGAAAATCAATTCGATTCCCAAACTTATTCAAAGAAATAACAATCGTCAAATTTTAACGCGATATGAGCGGAATAGCTCGATCGACACAAAGTACAATTCGCGGATGAGTCTTAAGGTCGACACCCGGTGTATTGTCACCTCGATCACGGTGATTAACCGCCACCGCGATAATCCCGACGAAGACAATGCGCTCCGTTTCGCTTCAACCCTGGCTGCCGTTCCCCAGGCACTTTAATCATTATACCTGCGCTCGCGACATCTTGACGACGAGATTACGTAAAAGATACTGCTAGCGTTCGTAATTATCGTAGCTCATCCTCCTCTCACTTGGCTCATTCCATGCAATTTTGCTTTCCCACGACTGACGCGAAGCGATCCCGTTAAAACACGAAAACCGACCGTTTCTGTCGGCAGCGAAAGTGGATTGCAAATTCGTTATCAACAAGCCCTCGAAATTGGTATCAAATATAGCGAATGGAAAGCATGAAATATTCACTGTTTATTGCTTAAAAAGAACGACATTTCTTTATATCTGTTAAAAAAAGAATAAAGTTTTTGCTGGAATAATTCTTCAATTTCATTGATTTATCATATATATTTATATGGTATACATTTTTTATTATATTGAACATTATGGAAATTAAATCATATGGAGATTATCATCGAATAGATTGTATGATAATGTAGTATTACAACAAAAAGTTTGCTTCTCAAGATAATATATTACTGTAGTTTTTTAATATTTTACTGACGAGATGTGTAATACACATATATTTATTTAAAACCAAGAGAGAAAAATACGGATTATATAAATTTTATTTTTAAATTTTATTTTTTATAATTAATAAAGCATTTGTACAGAATCTATATAACGTGTGTACGTAGTTCAGTGGAAAGTCGATAGATTGCATGCTGTATCGCAACGATGTTCCAACATCTGATCTGTAAAATTTCGCAGGCAATCATTCGTAATCATTTCGTAAGCATTTTTAATAACGGCAATCTTTCAAGCATTGTATGTTTGATACAATATAATTAATTAGCAAAAGACCACACGGACAAGATTTCTTATTTTAATTATGAAGTTTTAAAGAAATAGAATTGCAGTTTTAATCAATTAATTTATATAAATAATTGCAGTTTTAATATATAAATTTAAATAAATATATCGAAATCAAATATGCATTACTAAATATCTTCCTAATATGATTTTATCGTAAGAAAAAAGAGGTATATATATTTATATACATAAACATTTAATTATATTTTCTTAAAAATATAAAAATCTCAATTTTGTAGCTTTCACACATACACATGAATCTATTTGATATTTATTTAAACTTGATTCTTTAATACTTTCCAAATTGTCAGTAAATTACAGACAATACATGAAAATTTTTTTCAAATCTTTAAATGTCATGGAAAATTTTAATTAATGAAAAAAACAACTGTTCTTTATAAAGAGCTTATCTAATTGCACATAAATTATAAAAAAATACTCGATCCTTCACGCGATCAGCTTTGTTATTTATAATGACATGATAGTACGAACATATTAAAGAAAGAAACAGTCGAATGACTCAAAAAGTAGATCTGAAAGGCGATCGCCATTTAACGGTAGATTCCCCATGGCGAAAGTTGAAACATCAACTTTGACGAGTTAGTTCTAAAGATACTTCGAAGGTAGTCGTAAATATTCTTGTCAATAGTCTAAAAATTCTAGAAATACTAATTTCTATAGTAATCCCCTGTTTTATATTACATTTCAATAGTACATATATTTTGCAATAGTATAAATATTGAATTAATATTAATAATTATTCATTTCCAAGAATTTCTAATAATTCAAAAATTACTTAAGATCTCAAAGAATTAATGCAAAATATATTTAAATAATTAAAAATAATTAAAAATAAAACAGCAAATAATGTTTACGATTTTTGAGATTCAAATATTTAGTTAATTGTGAAACGAGAGAGTTGTTTTGCTGATTTTTTTATGCAAAAACGATTTGTGACTTAAAAATTAATCGTCATGGGAATTATAATACGAAATCTGAATCGGAGAATCTTGCAATACAACGCTTCTTTTTGAATGAATCACTGCAATTTCTGACTTGAAGGATAGATTTCTGATTATCTGATTCGCTAATTGAAGGGAATTATAAAGGAAATAATAAATAATTGCGTCGATCTTGACGTATGATAATCATTAAGTCATCGTATCTGATTCATCCGAAGAATATCAATATTAAACAATCTTATTGACATTTAATAATCGCTAATATATATTAAACATATGTAAATTATAAAATCTTTTATATATAAAATAAGAAAAATTTCGATAAAATTAAACAATAAAAAATATCCTATAATTTTTATAAAAAATTAACATTACATGTGAAAAACATAAATTATTATTGTATATGTTAAAAGAGGTTTTGGAAGAGAACTTGTCTTAAAAAACTTGACCATTTTGCGTGAACATTTCGTGCAGAAATATTTGTGAAAGATTATTAATTTACGTTTATAAAAAAGCAGAAGTTAAGCAGAGTTTATGTCACTATTTAAATTGCCACGGCATATTCTGTTTATTTTAATTAAATGAGTCAGGAAGAAAACATCTTTGTTACTAATATAAATTTTGAATCAATTGGAAAGCCAAAAAGATGGAATAATTCGGTAAAAATGCAATAAAAATAAAACTTGTAAAACATTTTAATTTCAGTCATACAACATAATAAAAATCTTGAGGAGATATTTTTAACATTTACCATACTTGATAAAAAAAGGAATTGAAGAGATCTCCAAATAACGGTATATCTTTTTCACATCAAATTCTAATATTAATTTTATATATTAATTTAAAAAAATACATTTTTTGTGATTTTTCCAGGATTCATTAGAAAAGCATATTTCTTGATTAAATGTATATATATTTTCAAAAATTTTATTTATCAAAATTAAAAAGTTCTATCTCAATCTTTATCAAAATCAGAATTATATAATCAGAATATGTCATGAATTTTTGTAATCGGTCCAGATCAAATAAATAAGCATGAATAATCATTAAGCAATGACAGCAAATTAACGTAAACAAACTAGTGTTAATTATTAATTTCTTATAATATTTATAAATTTTTTAATAAAATATTTTATCAAATTACTTAAATAAGGCTTCTTGATAATATTCATTTGCAATCATTTAAGCGCATTCGCTTGAAACTGATTTTTATTAATTTTAAAAATGAATATACATCATATAAATATACATAAATATAAAAATACATGTTAATGAATATCATATCATATCATACCATATTAATGAAATGCATATAACTTTGCTATGATACGGTATTAAAAACAGATCAAAACAGTTGCAATATTTTATATGATTAATCATAGATTAAAAATGTAATGAAATCTTAATAATATACTTTCAATACATATACTTTCAATATATTAAAATAATTGGAATATGCTTCAAAATTTATCGTGGTATCATGTTCTGATACTCCTATAAATAATGATCAACTAATATCTCAATTTTAAATTCGATTATCTGCATGTTTAAAAATCCAAAATACAAATTTCTATCACCTCAATATAATAAAATTAATTATACAAAAATTAATCATGTCTAAAAAATATTCTCTGGAAATTTTCATGCAAAATGTTGAATAATAACGATGAAAATTTGAAGTAAAATTATAAATATAAACCTTTCATTTTAAATAAATAAATGTCATAAAATAAATAGGATGTTTGGTGTGATGACAATTATATGTAATTATATAATATAATGTAAATGTAAATTTGTACTTATGTAAATCTATACTTATTGTCATATTCATTATAATACTTTACTTTATAATTCATACTTTACTTTATAATACTTTTAGCAGTTTTTCTTTTATAGAATTTGTAATTTTTTATTATATAAAACCAAAGTATTTTTATTCGTTTCTTTCTCAACGTGGATAACTTAATCTTAAATATAAGCAAAGATGGTTCAAAGTTGAAACTCTTCATTTGCATTTTCGCAATTCTAGAATTTTCGCGCGTGATTCGTTGAAATAACGTTTTACGCGCTTCGCGAATTTTTTTTCGCGTCGTGCCATTTTAATACTTAGATAAAAATAAATATCATAATACTAAAACAACAAAATACTATAGTATTTCGGACTATAACAAATAATCTAATGTCTTACTATTTTTTTCGAATTTGATAACGAGGTTATTACTAGCAAAGAACGTCGAAGTATAAAATAATTTTAAGGAATACAATAATTTATGAGTATTGTAAATTTTCTTATATATTTG